AGAAAATAAACAATAGTACATGCTGGTGGGGGATGTGGTCAAAAAGGAACACTACTGTACTGTTGGTGGGAATGTGAAATGGTTTAATCACTCTGGAAAGCAGTATGGAATTTCCTCAAAAGAATACACATAGAACTACCCTATGATCGAGTAATCCCACTCCTGTTTTTATTTTTTTAAGTTTATTTACAGATTTGCATTCATAGATCAAAGTACTTTTTTTTTCTTTTTGGTGCCAATATTGGGACTTGAACTCAGGCTTAAGCACTGTCCCTGAGCTCTTCTGCTCATGGCTAGTGCTCAACCACTTGAGCCACAGCTCCACTTCTGGTTTTTTGTGGTTAATTGGAGGGAAGAGTCTGTTGGACTTTTCTGCCTGGGCTAGCTTTAAACTGTGATCCTTAGATCTCAGCCTCCTGTGTAGCTAAGATTACAGGCGTGAGCCACTGATGCCCAGTTTTTAATCTGGATATGGAAAAGCATTCTCATTGCCAAATAGAGTTGGACACCTGGTCCAAAGTAATGTTTGTCATCCCTTTTAAAACTATTTTAAAAAGCTTTTACCTTAACTAATAATGTTGAATGTGACTTTTTCAAATCACATGTTTATGTGATTTGATCCCTTATTTCTATTCAAGGATTCTCATATGCTACTGTAGATAGTTAGGCCTTGAAGAAAAGAATCATTAGTTTAAAGAAAGGAACAAAATAAGTGTAAATTTTTATTTCTCTTGTTTTTGTGAATTACTATGCATTTTTCCCTATTTGTTCTTTTATTCAACAAGTACAGATTAAACCTACTACAGATACTTCTCAACTGAAAAATGGGTACTTTTAATAAGTGTACTTTAAGTTGAAAATAGCCTAAGAGTTTAAATTGCATTTAATACACCTAACCCACCACCAATCCCATACTTAGCCTTGCCTGCCTTAAATGTGCTAAGGACATTATATTACATTTAGGTTGGTCCAAATTACTTTATAACACAAAACCTATTTTTATAGTGAAACATGTTAAATAACTTTTGTTGTTTGTGTGGTTGATTGGGAGCTGTGGCTGCTGCTGCCTATTATTGCAAGAAGGTATAGAGCACATACTATTAGTGTGAGGTAAGATTGAAATTTCAGTTTCTAATGCATGTATATCACTCTCTCATAATCAAAAGTCAACATGTGTGCAAGTTCGTGTAAGTCAAGGACCATCTTTATATGCCAGCTCTGATACAAAAGTGATGATAGCCCCCACAACAATTTGGACTAGAATGTTAATAGCAGCATTATTTGTGTAGTTTTAAAAGAAGCTTGAAGAAGCCAAGAGCTGGTGACTCAGTCTTGTAATCCTAGCTACTGTGGAGGCTGTGCTAAAGATTGTAGTTCAAAGCCAGTCAGGTCAGGAAACTCCATGAGATTCTTTATCTCCAGTAAACCACTCTCAAGTGGTAGAGCACTAGCCTTGAGCAAAAGAAGCTCAGAAACAGAGCCTAGGCTCAAGTTCAAGCTCCAGGACAGACAAAAAAAGAAGAAGCTAAAAAACAATATAAATACCCACCAGCTGATGAATATTTAAACAAATGTGCTGTATATCCACACAGTGAGATACTGTTGGAAAAATCTGCTACAAAATGAATGAACCTCAAAATCATGCTAAATAAAGGAATCAGACACAAAACATTACATATTACATGGTTCCTTTATATGAAATATCCACAAAATACAAATCTGTAGAGACAACAGGTAGATCTGTAGTTGCTCAAGATTGGAAATAGAGGTGAAGACTGACAGCCATTTGCCATGATGGAAGTATATGCAGTGATGAAAATGTTGCATAGTTGGATTGTGGTGATGAATTATACAACCCTATAGATGGACCAATAATCATTAAATTCATTAAATTATTAATCATTAAATTGGAATTCAACAGTAGTTGAATTCTATGGTATATAAGTTATACCTCAAAAAGGTATTAAAATTTCATTACAAAAGCACAGATAAGGATTACAAAAGTATTACCTTTAGAAAGCTCACAGCTATTTAATGAAGGAAACATGTAAAAGAGAAATTAGTGTCATATGCATGTATGTAGATTGCTCCAGGAAAACTCTCAGGAGGAAACTTCAAATTGTGCCAAGAGAGTTGTTAGGTAAGAAAGGCTTTATATAGAAATCAGTATTTAAGGTTAGCTTTCAAAATGAGTAAAGGAACTTGCCAGATGAAGAGGCATTTGTATCCATTTCTTGGACTTCTTGCATTTTCAAATGCATGTAATCAGAAAAGCATATGTTTTGATAGTACTGACTATGGAAATGAACCTAAGTAAACTTATATATTGTTCCTTAACATTATAAAACTTGATCACTCAGATATGCTATTTTGGCTTTTTAATTAGCATAGTAACATAGTTGACTTTGAATCAATTTAGTTTTTCATTTTATATATATATCTGTGTTGGTTATATATAATAATATTGTTAAATTATTATTAATACTTTTCAGATGGTTACCTAGTGGTTAGGACATAAAGACTTGTGTGAAAGAAAAAAATGCTAAAACTAAAATGTGTCATGATCCAAGAAAGAACCAGAAATTTCAGTGTTGTTTTAATAATATGGATAATAAGACAGTTTATAACTTGTATCAAAAGGACTCTAAGAATTTATATAAAATCACATCAATTTCAATATGAGTTTGAAGAAATGTGTTCTGTTTCTTGCAGTGTAGAAGACTGCAAAGAAATCCTAACAACCTTTCACTTTAATACACTAAAATCCTGTGTAAAAATATTGTAAAAATTGCTCAGTAATATCAAGTAAAAGTCTGATTCCCTAGTTTCCAGGCATAATATTCCTGTTCCTATTGTGATTCAGCAAAGTACTTTTGCTTTTGAAAAGAATCAGTCACTTTAACCAATAAGCTGCTTTGCCTTTTGGAACTATGGTATGAGGATACCCCAATGGCCAAGTAGATATCTCACCTTCCAATTTATTAGAGCTAGCTGATTGAGAACTAACCAACAGGCAGAACTCACATTGTAGGATGAGAAACCAAAATTACGTCAGTGAGTATTAGGCATGCAAATGAGAGGAGCCACTTTTGCTTCCATTGCTTGATTCCTAGTTTGTGTATTGGGGTTATGGTGGAGCTGAGCTGGCACCATATAATGATCTCCTTGTTATATCCTGTAAAACAGCACTTTCAGCTAGGCGCTGGTGGCTAATCCTAGCTAATCAGGAGGCTGACATCTGAGGATAGTGGTTTGAAGCCAACCTGGGCCAGAAAGTCCGTGGGACTCTTACCTCCAGTAAAATAAATAAATAGATAGATAGATAAATAAGGTCTAGGAATATGGCTTAGTGGTAGAGTGCTTGTCTAGCATGCATGAAGACCTGGGTTCAGTTCCTCAGTACCATATAAACAAAAAATTGGAAATAGTGCTGAGGCCTGAGTGGTAGAATGCTCAAGAACAGTGCCCAGGCTCTGAGTTCAAGCCCCAGGACTGGCAAAAAGAGAGAGAGAGAGAGAGAGAGCGCATTAATTGGAGCTGTGGCTCAAATGATAGAGCATTTGCATTGAGCAGGAAAGCTCAAGAACAGTGCCTAGGCCCCGAGTTCAAGCCCCAGGACCAGTAAAAACAAAAATAATAACACTTTCAGAGTTTTGTCTCCCAAACCCAACTTTACTAGGTCTTGCTATTCCGTTGATATGAGTCCATTGCCTGTTACCTTTGTAGGTAATGAGCACCTTGATCACAAATACTTCTATGTGAAATACTGTAATGGTGGATAAGGCAACCCTGAAGATGGTAGTACTAGCAGAAGTATATGGATGGGAAAGGCATATCCATGTCACAAATACATTTATTCTAGAGATATCAATCTCTCTCTCCTGCTTATAGAAGATAGCCAATACAATCTTCTCCTAGTTGCCTGTCTGGGCAGTCCCAGTAATATCACCATATCTGGGGATCAGTGCTGAACTCTGCTGTCTAGTGAGTAGCTATATTATTAAGTTTATAGCTGAGTACCTGCATTATTGGATATGTAGCTGCATATGTAATGCTAGAGTACTATATTGATTTGTTGCAGTGATGATGCCACATCTGGAAGGCTATCATCAGAGAGAACCTCTGCTTAAGTTTACAATTAAATCTTCATTTTCCAAGATTCATCTGACTTCTGCACAAAGTAAACAGATGAGTCAAATAACAGTGTTGCATAGGTATCACTTCCCCTTGTCTTTTTTAAGTATCTGAAAATGTGTTATAGTTATTATACTCAATATACTTTATCTTGTATGTATCTGGTTGTGTGACCATTTATAGTTTTGTCTTGATAGTGGAAAGGAATAGCACCTTCCACTTAGCCCTTTTTCTTACCTCTGAGTCAGAATCAGTTTAATCTCCTTTGGCCTACTACATTCTGGAATTGAGAAAGTTGCTGTAGGATGAGACTGTAGACCAACTTTCTTCTATTCACATCTAGGCTAGCAGTTTTGGGGGGAGGGAATCGTTAGAGATTGTAAGGCAGTATTACACCAAAATAATTTTCTTTTTTTGGGGGGGGGTCCGGTCGTGGGGCCTGAACTCTGGGCCTGGGCACTGTCCCTCAGCTCTTCAGCTCAAGGCTAGCGCTCTACCACTTGAGCCACAGCGCCACTTCTGGCTTTTTTCTTTTTGCTTATGTGGTACTGAGGAATCGAACCCAGGGTCTCAGGCATGCAAGGCAAGCACTCTACCACTGAGCCACCTTCCCAGCCCACCAAAATAATTTTCATATCCAGTTCTGAATAGTACATGTAACATTCTTCCTAGAAATTCTAGAATAGCAAACTAGTATAATTAGTAAAAACTCAGAAGTCAGTAAGAACTCATTATCTTTTTTTTTCTCACTTGTAGGATTTGAACTCATCGCCCTGTGCTTGCACTTGCCCATGCCCTCATCTTTTTACCAGGTTTTTTTTCTTTTTCTTTTTCTTAACTTAGTGCTTCTGTTTTATTTCTTATAGAAAAACTTGCAGAGGCTCAACGCAGGTTTGCTACACTTCAGAATGAGCTTCAGTCATCACTGGATGCACAGAAAGAAACCACTGGTGTTACTACATTGCGACAACGCAGAAAGCCGGTCTTCCACCTGTCACATGAGGAACGTGTCCAACATAGGAATATTAAAGACCTTAAACTGGCATTCAGTGAGTTCTACCTCAGTCTTATCCTGCTGCAGAACTATCAGGTACTTAACCTAAACAGTGTTGTTTTAAAATAATAGATAAATTCTAAGAAGACAAATTATCTTGAAGTATATTAAAAGCTTCCAAAAAGGAAAAAAAGTTATCATAAGTCTATTCTTGGAATTTGTATTTTAGTGTGGGGTTCTTGGAATTTTTAGTGTTTTTTTAATTGGCCAAAACTATGTGCCAGATTTGACAAGAGCTGAAATTTTTTTTGTTTATTCATTTTTTATTTTTGGCACTACTGAAATTTAAACTCCATGCCTCATGCTTGCTAGGCAAAATCCTCTTACCTCATGAGCCACACCATCAGCTCTTTTGCATTGGTCTTAAGAGCCTTGCTTCATGCCTGGGCTAACCTGTTCGTGATTTTCCAATTTGTGCTTTCCCCACATAAATAGGATGATATGCATATGCCAGTACATCTAGCCATTGTTTTCAGCATAGTTTCACCATCATTTTTCTGAGCCTGATCTTGATCATGATTCCTTTTTTTAATACGATTCCCTGCATAGACAGACTGAGAGGCATATAGCACTGTTCCCAGCCATTGGTTGAGATGTAGTCCTCTTTTTTTAATTGTTACTATAAAGGTGATATACAGAGGGGTTACAATTACATAAGTCAAGTAAAGAGTATATTTATTTTTGGACAATGTTACCCCTTGCTCTCTCCCAGTTTTTCACTCCCATCCCTACCCATAGGTTGTATAATTCATTTGTGAGCACATTGCTTCATTGTTCACCCTTTGTCCCTCCATTTCTGTGCTTCCCCTTCAGCTCCCAAAGACATATGAATGAACAAATAGAACAAAAAGGAAAGAAAACAAAAATGGCAAAAAAAAGAAAAAAGCCTGGCAACATTTTAGCCCAAGTTGGTCTTCCACATCTCCTCTTCCCAAATAGCTAGGATGATAGGTTTCAGACTCTGTGCCTTGTCAAGATTTCTTTCTTTTTTCTTTTTTTTGGCCAGCTTTTGCTGGCTCTGTTTAATTGCTCTGTTGGTACTCTATACTTGAGGTACACCTCCAGCCTAGCTCTTCACGTTTCTTTTTTTCAATTGTTGTTTTCTCAGGGCCTGGGTACTGGCCCTGAGCTTCTTTTGATCAAGGCTAGTGCTCTACCACTTGAGCCATAGCTCCATGACCAGGCCAACTTGGAACTGTGATCCTCAGATCTCAGCCTCATGAGTAGCTAGGATTATGGATTCTAACAGACTTTTTTTTTTTCTCTTGTTGGCTTTGAAATATGATCCTCTGGATCTCAGCCTCTTTAGCCTTGTGTGGCTAGACTTCCAGGTATGAGCTACCAGTATGCAAAAAGACTTCTGTTTTTGGAGATGAGTTTTCTAAAACCTTTTGTACAATATTCAAGAGGTATCCTTGACTTAAGGAGTAACAATTTGCTTTCTATTTTTAAAAGCAGCTCTGAGGGGCTGGGAAGGTGGCTCAGTGGTAGAGTGCTTGTCTTGTATGCCTGAGGCCCTGGGTTCGATTCCTCAGCACCACATAAGCAAAAAGAAAAAAGCCAGAAGTGGCGCTGTGGTTCAAGTAGTAGAGCACTAGCCTTGAGCTGAAGAGCTGAGGGACAGTGCCCAGGCCCAGAGTTCAGGCCCCATGACCAGACCCCCCCCCCAAAAAAAAAGCAACTCTGATAGTTATATGGGTCTGCTAAACCATTGTTGGCAATATAAGAACTCCTAATCAGTAATAAAATTTCCTCAAAAGTAATGGAATCGTTGAAGAAAAACATGCTTCTCATTTTTAGCTGACCTTGTAGATATAGTCACTTGTATTGACTCATGCTCCTATCTTCAAACTTAGATGAGTGGAAAGGAAGTGGAAGTTACATACATGATCATCTCCCAGAAGCAAAGAACTACATAAATGTTTTAGTGCATTGTAAATGTGTTAGTGCATTGTAAATGTTGTTTTGGCAATGCAGTAAGATAATAGAAGCTATTTTTGGAATAGTTGTACATAATAAAAGGGAAATTAAAATGTCTTAGTGATAACGAGTTTTATCTGTTCAGTAGTAAATTCTTTTGTACTCAAACTTCATTCAGCTCTCTCAAGGGTTAATGCTTATTGTTTTTCATACTCTTTAATGATGTTAGAAATTAATAGTTTGTCTCTTTTTTTTCTATAGAATCTGAATTTTACAGGGTTTCGAAAAATCCTTAAAAAGCATGACAAGATTCTGGAAACATCTCGTGGAGCAGATTGGAGAGTGGCTCATGTAGAAGTGGCCCCATTCTATACGTGCAAGAAAATCAATCAGCTCATCTCTGAAACTGAGGTACAGTAACCCTGTTTATTTACAATATATTTCATATTGATATTTTTTTAAAAGCTCTGCTTTTCTGTTTACCTTTTGTAAATAGTTGCTATCTTTGAATTCATGATTCTTTGTTTTCTCAATATACATCTATATTTAGAGTATATATGTATCTATATAAATTATATACATATAAGTATATACCTGTTTAGTATAGAATTATTTATAACATGTCAAAATTCAATAATTTGTTTTCTAGGCTGTAGTGACCAATGAACTTGAAGATGGTGACAGACAAAAGGCTATGAAACGATTGCGTGTGCCCCCTCTGGGAGCTGCTCAGGTTAGTGTTTGCTAATAGAGGTTTGCTTGCTTTTCTCTATTTAAAATCTTACTTAATAACACAATCTAGTTGCTAGCTGGCTTCATTATCTTAAAAAAATTTTAAGCCAAAATTTATAAGTAGTTGCTGCTTTATTCTAGTTTTGTGTGTATGTGGTTTTTTTTTTTTTAATTAGATGCCAAGAGCCAGGTGTGGTGGCACATGCTTATAATATTAGTACATAGGAAACTTGAATCAGGAAGATCAAGAGTTCAAGATCAGCCTGAGCTACATAACAAGACTGTCTAAAAATATTATTTTATTTTACTATTATAAAATACAAAACTGGTGAGATTTTTCTGCCTATGTACTGATGATCTATGGAGAAATTTCATCGACCATTAGAACTAATAAAAGAGTCTGGCAAGGTTGCCAATTCAATTACAATATAAGTTTACAAAAATTGGTTAGATTCCTGTATTTCAGGAAGAATAACTTTTCAATAATGCTCTTCATAAGACCATCAAACTATGAAATGGTTAGAAATAATTCTGACAGCCGGGTAACAGTGGCTTATGCCTATAATCCTGGCTACTCTGGAGGCTGAGATTTGAGGATTGTGGTTCAAAGCCAGCCTAGGCATGAAAGTCCACAAGACTCTTATCTCCAACAAACCACTCAGAAAACCAGAAGTGGTACTGTGGTTCAAGTGGTAGAGCGCTAGACTTGAGCTGAGGAGCTGAGGGACAGCACCGGAGCCCAGAGTTCAAGCCCCATGACCAACAAAAATAGGAAGAAAGAAAGAGAGAGAAGAGAGAGAAAGAAACAAAGAAAGAAAAAGAATTCTGACAAAACATATGAAAGACAGTGAAAAATAAATATTGCTAAAATATACTAATGAATACTTAAGTAAGAGACACATCATGTTCATGAGTATATTGTTAATCCAATAGTTATAAGATTTTATTTCTTAAGTTGATTTATAGATACAACACAATCCAATTAAAAATTTCAGGCATTTTGTGTGTGTGTGTGTGTGTGTGTGTGTGTGCGCACGCATGTGTATGCATGTATAAATGTTGTAAACTAATTTTTAAAAATGTATATGGGAATGAAAAGAGCCAAGAATAGTCTGAACAATTTTGGAACCACTAAATTAAAAGATTAATATTATCTGGGATATTATTGAAGCTACAATAATCAATACAGTGTGGTATTAGTATAAAATAGACAGATATTTCTTTGAAACAAAATAAAGAGTCCAGTAACAGGCTAAAGTATTTAAGTATTTATGGACACTTAATTTTCAATACAGATACAAAGCAAGTAGGTGGAGAAACAAGAACGTTTTAACAAATGGTGCTGGAACAATTGGATTCCATATTAAAAAAAAGGCCTTTTCCATATTTCTCACATCATATATCTAAAGCTTCAAGAAGAAAATATGGAAGAAAGTCATCAGTGTCTTTGGATTATTCAGGGATTTCTTAGAAATAACTTCATCAGAATCACTTCATCAGAATTTAAAACATCTAGTCAAAAGATCCTGTTAAGAGAGTGAGAAGAAAACATTCAGTTAGGAGAAAATATTGCAAAAAGTATTTGACAAATGACTTTATAAAGAATTATACTATTCAAAAAATGACCCAGTTTAACAATGGGAAGGACTTGAGCTTCATCAAAGATGTACAGATGGAAAATCAGCATGCAACAAAGGTATTTAATGTCATTAAACAGTAGAGTCATGCAAATGAAAGCCACAGTGAGATAGACTAGAATGATTGGTGATGCTAAATGTTGAAGGAATTGGAACTCTTGTACGCTACTTGTGAAATAGAAAATGCAATGACCACATTAGTAAATAGGAAGTTTCCTAAAAAGTTAAGAGTTAAGTATTCACCTACCATATGACTAGCTATCACATTCCCAGGTATCTACCAAAACAAGTACAAGCATACATAAGGTATTGTATATGAATGTTGATAGTAATTTTAATTATTATAGCATACAACTGGAAACAACCCAAATGTCCATCTGTAGATAAATGGATAAAATATTTGCAGTAATTCTGTACAATGAAATACTACTCAGCAGTATCTGTAAGTAAACTGCCCAGATGACTTGTAAAATAATTACTCTGAGGCACATTTTAAAAAGAAGAAAAAAAACAAGCCAAGTACCAGTTGTTCTTGCTTATACCTTAACTAGTTAGGAGGCTGAGATCCAGAGGATTATAGTGCAAGGCCACCTCAGGCAGAATAGTTAACTAGACTCCATCTCTAGAATAAGCAGCAAAAAGCATGGCTGAAGCCAGCCACAAGTGGCCACATCTATAATCCTAGCTACTCAGGAGACTGAGATCTGAGGATCTCAGTACAAAGCCAGCCAGGGCAGGAAAGTCTCTGTGAGACTCTTAACTATAATTAACTACTCCAAAACTGGAAGTGATGCTGTGGCTCAGGTAGTAGAGTGCTAGCCTAGCACAAAAAAGCTGAGGGACAGCACCCAGGCCCTTGAGTTCAAGCCCTATAGCCCACAAAAAAAAAAAGAAAGAGAAAGAGAGAGAGAGAGAAAGAAAGAAAGCAAACAGGGTTGAGGCATGGCTTAAGTGATAAAGCCCCAGCCTAACAAATTTGAGGTCCTGAGTTCAAACCCAGTACCACCAAAAAAATAAAAAGTATGTATCATATGATTCCAGCAACCTTTACCCTTGAGCCATGCCTCTAGCATCTCTTTTTGTTAGTTATTTTTGAAATAGGGACTCTTCCCATTTCAGTGTGGACTATGATCTTTTCTATTTGTTCTTCCCTTTATTTCTTGGATTACAGGCACATGCCATTGCAGGCAGCCATTGTGCTTGTCCTGTAGCTTGGGATGACAGGCATGTACCGCCATGCCTAGCCATTGGTTGTGATGGAGTCTTACAAACTTTTAATTCCCAGGCTGGCCTCAAGATTGCAGTTTCCCATTCTCCACTTCCCAAACAGCTCAAACTAGAGACTTCAGCTACTGTACCTAGCAAGAGGAATATTATTTGACTCTTACACTCTGAAAATTATAGAATAATATGCTAAAGATACACTAGTATATCTTGAACAATTAATTTGTCATCCCAGTATAATAGCATAAGCAGTATCAGAAAATAAATGTTATTTTTACCATTGTTTCTAATTATTCATAATACCAAACATATAAACTCCAATTAAATAATATTTTTTAAATTTAGAGATGGCTGGGCTCCAGTGATCCTGTAGATTTAGTTAATCAGGAAGCTGAGATCTGAAGATTGAGGTTCAAAGCCAGCCCAGGCAGGAAACTTGATGAGACTAGTACCTCCAATAAACTATTCAGAAAAGGCTGAAAGTGGCACTGTGGCTCAAGTGGTAGAGTGCTAGCCTTGAGCACAAAGAGGCTCAAGGCACCAAGGCCCAGAGTTCAAGCCGCAGAAATTGGGGGTGGGAGAGGCGTGAAGGAGGGGAGTAGATGTATCATGGTTAACACCTGTAATCCTAACTATTCAGAAAGCTGAGATTTGAGGGTTGTGGTTTGAAGCTAGCCCAGGCAGGATAGTCCATGAGATTCTTAACCTCCAGAAAAAAGCCAGAAGTGGAGGTGGCTCACATGGTAGATTATTAGTCTTGAGCACAAAGCTCAAGGACAGCGCCAGTGACCCTAATAAGATCAAACCGTAGGACCAGCACACACAAAAAAATTAGAGATGTATATGTTGTAAAAGGTAAAATAGCATTTAAAATCTCTGCTATAAAAAAGTCTTTAGTGTAGACAAAATTAGATATTTCAGGTTATTTCATGACTCAGATCAGAGTTTTATAAAATAACTGGCAACTCTATTCTAGTTTATAGGATGATAGTTCATGGATAATTCTGTGGTTCAGATTTATAAAGATCTAGATCATTGCAAGGCATAGTAGCAAAATCCCCAGCACTGGGGAGGCTGAACAAGAAGATAGCAGGTTCAAGGACAGCATAGACTACATAAACAGCCTGGACTATATAGACATAAACAAGACCCTGTCACCAAAAAAAAAAAAGAGAGAGAAAAATGGATCATAAAACACTTAAGGTTTCATAGGTTCCTTTTGTATTTATTTTTATTGGTTTAGTTTTATAGGGGAGGAATTCATTGTTGCATCTTTATACAGTTTACACTGTATTTCAATTTCACATATCATACTTTCTTCCCCATCTCTTTAAAACAGCATTCCCAGGAGGTTTTCTTGTTCTGTTTTCATAGTTGCAAATTGTGTATTTTGACTATATTCAGCCCCATTTTTCCCCCACCAGCTATTTTTATAAATTGTGAAACTTTACTGCTTATTACAGCATATGCTAAATGTTATTTGATATCGTCTTATACTCAAAATGCTGTTTTTTGGTCCACAGCCTGCACCAGCATGGACTACTTTTAGGGTTGGCCTATTTTGTGGAATATTCATTGTACTAAATATTACCCTTGTGCTTGCAGGTAAGTAGTTTAAAGTTTGAAATAATTTATCTAAATTAATATGCCTGTGTCATATTCTGCCCCTGGATAAAAAAAATAAATAAATAAATGAAGCATTCGGGGCTGCGAATGTGGCTTAGGGGGTAGAGTGCTTGCCTAGCATGCATGAAGCCCTGGATTCAATTTCTCAGTACCACATAAACAGAAAAAGCCAGAAGTGGCAGTGTGGCTCAAGTGGTAGAGTGCTTGCCTTGAGCAAAAGAATCTCAGGGACAGTGCCCAGGCCTTGATTTCAAGCCTCAGGACTGGCCCTGCCCACCCAAAAAATCAAGCATTCTTATACCAAAAATAGTGAAAGAAGTTTGTCAAGGCTAATTTTTTTCTTTGGAGATTGGTTATTTGTCTCTTATTATTTTGTTTTTGTACCAGTTCTGGGGCTTGATCTCAGGGCTTGGGCTCTATCCTTGAGCTTCTTTTTGTTTAAGGCTAGTGCTCTAAACTTGAGCCACAGTTTCACTTCTGGCTCTTTCTGAGTAGTTTTTTAAGATAAAAGTCCTATAGAGTGTCCTGGCTGAGCTGGCTTTGAACCATGATCCTCAGATCCCAGCCTCCTTGAGTAGCTGGGATTACAGGCATAAGCCACTAGAACCCAACTGTTTTCTCTTTTGCCTTTGGGTATAGTTACACTTTCAATCATTGACCTCTTAATCTTCATCTTTTTTTGTTGTTGTTGGTTATTGGGCTTGAACTCTGGGCCTGGGCACTGTCCCTCACCTCTTCAGCTCAAGGCAGGCATTCTACCACTTGAGCCACAGGGCCACTTCGGTTTTCTGGTGGTTTATTGGAGATAATGAGTCTCTTGGACTTGTCTGCCCTGGTGGGCTTTGAACCACAATCCTCAAGTCTCAGCCTACTGAGTAGCTAGGATTAAAGACAAGAGCCACTGATGCCCAGCTTCATCATTTTTTTAGTTTTAGTTTCAGTTTCTTCAGACTTCTTTGGGTTCCAGAATTGTAGCCTTCTTAATCATAGATGAAGATCAATAAACCTTATGCAATTTATTCACCAAAACTCACTTTGCTTATTGGAGATCCTCAGCCTTCTACAGAACTATTTATGATTGCTTTGGTATATAGTTTTAAGAAACTTGTTTATGTAATCAAGTTAAAAAATTAGATAGTAGAAAAGGTTGCTTGCTTTTAAGCAATAGTAGTCTCAATACTAAGAAATAATGAAATAGTAAGGAAAGTGTAGTCTTACTAAATTTATCTAAAGAATTTTACCAAACCCCTCAATAGCATTTTACATTGTTTATCACTGCTTCTTGAAATATTTTCTTAGGTTGGCTTTCCTACTAAATTTTACTTGTGGATCTTTCCCAGTGTCTTTTACTAGCTATACTCTTCTTTGTAATATTGAAATATTGGGGCATCCCATTAGATTAAATCCTTACATCTCTACTATTACTCATTTCCTACTGAGGTAGTCTTACTTGACCCTATTGCTGTAAATACCATTTACATGTTAAGGACTAATTAGCTGCATGACTATTTCATAGGAACCCCACACTTACATAGGAAAAAAGAACTCTTGATTTTCTGTCCCTAAGCAGGCTTTTCTTTTCTGTGGCATCACTTGTTACCTGGTTTCTTAGGCTGAAACCTTTTAGTTTTCCCTAGTGTTAGTCAAATTTCCATTACTGTGGCAGAATATCTGAGATTAGCAGTGTAAAAGGAGGAAATGTTAGGTGCCAGTGGCTCACACATGTAATTCTAGCTACTCTGGAGGTTGAGATCTGAGGTCAAGGTTCAGATCCAGCCAGGGCAGGAAAGTCCATGAGACTCTTATCTCCATTTAACCACCAGAAAACCAGAAGTGCTGCTGTGGCTCAAATGATAGAGTGCTAGCCTTGAGCTGAAGAGCCCAGGCCCAAAGTTAAAGCCCCACTCCCAACAAAAAAATCAAAAGGAGGAAATGTTTATTTTGACTCACAATTTCAGCCCATGGTTTGGCCCTGTCATTTTGGTCCTGGTCAGAACAATGTGGTGGGAAGCTAGTGGTGGAGCCAAGGTCATGGTGGCTGGGAGAAAATTAGGAAGGGGTTTGGCTCACGATATACCATATCCCCAGTGACCTACTTCTCCAACTAGACCTACTTCCTGCTAAAGTTCCTAATATGCTAACAGAGCCATCATCTGAGAACAGTTTTTAATACATGACCTTTGGGGGAACATTTAAGATTCAATCTAAAACATTATTCATCACTAATCCATCAGCAAATCCTGTTGCTCTGTCTTCAAATTATCTAAATCTAACTGCTTCTCACTACTTCTACCATTATGGTCCTTATTTACGCAACATTTTTTTCTGAGCTTGTTTCCTTGAATCCACTGTTAACCTCCTATACAACAAAAACCTATGGTGTTTTGTTTGTTTTATGTAGATCATGTCACTCTTCTATTTGAAATCCATCCCCAGTTTCTCTTACAATAAAATCCAAACATTTTACAGTGGCCTATAAGATACAATAGAATATTGTCCCCATGGACCTTTCTTACTATATATACTGTCATCCTCCCCTACACTCACTGTGTTTTACCTACTGTTCTTTGAAAATTCTAAATTCTTTCTCTTCTAAGGGACTTGCAGTGGCCTAATGTATCTTTCCCAAGCTCTGTACATAGCTCACTTTATCCATTCATTTTGGTTCCCTTTTCAGTAGACCTTTCTAAACCCAACCCTAATTTTTTTTTATTTTATTTGCCAGTCCTGAGGCTTGAACTTAGGGCCTGGGCGCTGTTCCTGAGCTTCTTTTGCTCAAGGCTAACACTCTACCACTTGAGCCACAGTGCCACTTCTGGCTTTTTCTGCTTGTGTGGTACTGAAGAATTGAATCCAGGGCTTCATGCATGCTAGGCAAGCACTCTGCCACTAAGCTACATTCCCAGCCTACCCTAAAATAATTTATTCTGTCCCTTTAGTGCTTATAATTAAAATATATTACATATTTATCTCGGTTTTCCTACTAAAATGTAAACTTTTTGATGCTTAAGCTTTTGTCTCTTCTGTTCGCTAGTATATTTCCAGTACACTGAATGGAACACAAGAACTCAGAAAAAATTCGGGACATTTAAATAGATAGAAAAGAAGAACAATAAAGTTAAATGATAGGAAGAAAACACAAATAGCAAAAATTGAAAAACAGAAACAGAAAAACAAATAATATCTAAAATCTCAGTTTCCTCCAGGCAAATACTTTCAACTTGAGGGCCAGTAATCATGGTATCCTTCAAGAGTCCATATGATTATAATTACAACTGTGTAATAATTTATTATAAAATTAAACCGTTCATTCTGCAAAGGAATATGATTTAGAAATGTGTATATTCTGTTTTAGACTTTGAATGTAATCAAAATGAATGCCTGGTAGTTTAGATCACTGTTACACTGCCTTCGATAATATGTATTGTTTTATATTTCATGTTCCTTAACAGGGCCATCTATATATAACAGATGTTCAAGAAATAATTTTCACAACTCATTACACTTCATAAATGTTTTAACACTTCCAGTTATGTACTTTGCAACTATAACCCAAGTTGTAATAGCATTTAGAAAGTATATGAACTTTACCTATCAACAAGTATGTTTTTGTGTTGTTATAGTTCTCCTTCCCATGATTTATTAAAAATTAAGTACCCTAAGCTTATGATGTAACATCGTTATATGTACTCCATGATCAGATACTAATCTAGCTAGGATATTAGGATAATCTAGGATAAATATAGTGTACTGATATAGAATACATAGAAATACTATAGCACAAAGCTAGACCTACATTATCGAGCTAGCTGCTGATCATTAACATAGAAAAGAAGACTTCTTTCCTTATAAAGTTCATTATGTTAGGAAGATTAACACAATAATTATAATACATTTTGAGGTAGAAGGTATTAAATGTTCTAACCAGTTCAAAGGAATAGGAATAACTGAGCACTTTTTTTTTTTTTTGCCTGTCCAGGAGTTTGAACTCAGGGCCTAGGTGCTATCCTTGAACCTCTTTGTGCTCATGGTTTGTGCTCTACCACTTAAGCTGCAGCACCACTTCCAGCTTTTTCTGAGTAGTTTATTGGAGATAAGAGCCTCACAGGCTTTTGTACCTGGGCTGGCTCCAAACTGAGGTCCTCAGATCTCAGCCTCCTGAGTAGCTAGGATTACAGGCACGAGCCACCCAGTGCCCAGCTGCAACTGTTTGCTTTTAAATAAGACTATCAGGGAAGACTTGATGGAAGACATGGTGTTTAAGCTAGGTATTAATGGAATGAAAGGTATTCTGAAAAGGAAACAGATGAGCAAAGAAATCTAGTTAGCCTGTTTTTGGCCATACCACCCTGAACGTGCCCGATCTCATCTGATCTCGGAAACTAAGCAGGGTCGGGCCTGGTTAGTACTTGGATGGGAGAAATCTAGTTAGCCTAGGATACCAGTGAGATTTAGGAGGAAGGAATGGGTTGTGAAAGTAAGGTAGTAAATTTACCTAGAGTCAAACAGATATTATCTAAAGCACTCTCTTGCTCATTTGTGGGTGGCATTCTTTAATTTCCAAGATAAATGTGATAGTATGACCATCATCACTTTCATTTAAAAAAGACATCAAAAAATATAAACTTTATTTTCATGCAAATTAATAAAAAAAGTCATTTTTAAAATTCAGGATAAAGAGGGTTTTGTTTAGTAAAGACTTTTGTGATACACTTTGGTGGGTTTTTTTATGTGTGTGATTTATGTGTTTAATGTTATGCATGGGGCTTTCTTACCTCAGAACCTTTTTTTGTTTGATCTTTGTGTGTGTTCTTGGGGGGAGGGTAAGCACAGTTAAACCCAGCTGACTACCCTTACTTATCTCCCAGCAGGGCCTCAGTGTTGAGAGTGAGGAAGAGTGCAGTAGTAATACATGTTCAAGCATGATTTTTTTTTTAGCATTAACATAAAAATTATGTGTGTAATTGCTTTGGTTTCTC